TTAACCACAATCAGGAGGGACATAGCAAGCATGGAGAAGAGAGGCTCAGATCCCACACAGGGCACCCTAGGCACTGGGGATCTGTCCTGGGAAGATGAGTTGCTGTAACATATGGCTTTGAAAATCAGAGCTCAACTTGAGAAGTTTTTTTTTTTTTTTAGAAGATATATTTATTCATGAGAGACACACAGAGAGAGGCAGAGACACGGGCAGAGAGATAAGCAGGTTCTATGCATGGAGCCCAACGTGGGACTCAATCCTGGAATCCCAGGATCACGCCCTAAGCCAAAGGCAGATGCTCAACCACTGAGCCACCCAGGTGCCCCAGGTTTAGAAGCTTTTTTTTTTTTTTAAGATTTTATTTATTTATGAGAGACAGAGAGAGAGAGAGAGAGAGAGAGGCAGAGACACAGGCAGAGGGAGAAGCAGGCTCCATGCAGGAAGCCTGATGTGGGACTGGATGCCGGGAGACATGGCAGTGCTAAACCGCTGAGGCACCCAGGCCGCCCAGAAGCTTTAAAAATCAGTAGCACTTAGTTGAACCACTATAGGATTAGGCCCCTTTCCTTGCACCCCTCCCTTTCCTCCTACAGTCAGCTGAGAAAGGGGAGGGGACTTTAGTAGTCTTTGTGATAGGGCTTACCAGCTCTGTTCCCTCCTCCCCATTGCACCTTCTTGGGGTATTTGGGGCCACCAGGTAAGGGCCACCATACCCTGATCCTGACCCCCTATATTCCTGCCATGTTATGTCTGGCTCATTTCTGCCTGAATAAAGTAATGCCTCTGCCTTTAAAAAAAAAAAAAAATTAGTGGGGCTCAATTCTGAGAGCTATAAAAATCAGTAGGCTTAACTCTGGGATAGCTGGAAAGTGACAGGAAATTGAGTCTTCACCCTTAAAGGGCCAGCATGCTACATAACATGACCTGAGAGACAGAAGAAAAGTAGCAGTTTAAAAACCATCTGAAGTACACATGAAAATTTACTGACTTGTCTTATTAGAAGGTGTGCCAGAGGGGCAGGGATTTGCAGATTACTCTAAGAAGAGTGCTGGTGGGTACCATTCCTTCTCATCCTAGCCTAGATAACTGGTCACTTGGAAGAGTCACCACAAACACTCTCCATCTACCTTGCTAGCACTGTGTGCTTGCCCCATCCAACCAGGCAGCCTCAGCTGGAACTGGCACCACTCTAAAACGATTGCTACCTGGAAAAAGGGGGCGGGGGAGAATAAGCCCGTACACCATGCCTGCAGTTCTTGTGCTGGGAACCTGACCTGGCTGCTTGCTGAGGGTGCAAAACCTGCTCTTTGATGTACCTATAGCTGTGACAGAAAAGCTAACAGTAGACTGCTGACAGCCACCCTGCCCACCAAAGAGACCATGACAGCAGCCTACAGCAGTCATGACATCATGACAGGTTCTTCAACAGCACTGGGAGCAAACCCTGTGCAGCGCACCCACAGGAAACAGAGTGATTATAGGTGGCTGGGCTGAAGGCAGTCATGGCTCAGTCACAACAGGAGGGAACACACAACCCACATCCAGAGCACCTGGTTCTGGTAACCAAAAAGATCATGTGAAGGACTCTTCTACATAAGGCCACTGTTTTCAAGATCAGGAGATGTAGTTGACCTTCCTAATACATAGAAACAAATACAGAAAATTAGACAAGACAGAGAAATATAACACAAATGAAAGAACAGGACAGAATTACAATAAAAAAGCTAAATGAAATGGAGATAAGCAATATGCCTGATGAAAAATTTAAAGTGATGGTCATTAAGATACTCAGTAGACTTGAGGAAAGAGTGGATGAATTCATAAGATCTTCAACAAAGAAAGAAAATACAAAAATGAACCAATCGGAGCTGAAGAATTCAGTAAATGAAATAGAGAGTATCAACAGCAGATTAAAGGAAGGAGAAGAACAGATCAGGAATCTGGAAGTGTAATGCCAATCATTCAAGATAAACAGCAAAAAGAAAAAAAGAATAAAAAATGAGAATAGATTAAGGAAACTGCAACATCATTAAGCATAACATTTATAGTACAAGGATTAAAGAAAGAAACTAATTTCAAGAAACAACAGCTGAAAACATCCCTAATCTGGCAAGCAAACAGGTCTAGGAAGCAGAGAGAGAGCCCTTAACAAGATAAACCCAAGAAGGTCCACACCTAGACACATAATAACCAAATGGCAAAAAGTAATAAATACAGAACTTTTATAGCAGCAAAACAGTTACAAACAAGGGAAGCCCCAAAGGCAATCAGCTGATTTTTCAGCAGAAATTCTGCAGGTCAAAAGAAAGTGGCATGATACATTCAAAGATACATGATACATTCAAAGCTGAAAGAAGAAATCTATAACCAAGCCCAGCAAGATTATCACTCAGAATAGGAAAAATAGTTTCCCAAACAAAAGTTAAAGGAGTTCATCATCACTAAGCCAGCCTTACAAGAAGTGTTAAACGGAATTTTCTCTTATTTTAAAGATTTGAGAGAGAGTGTGAGTGAACACCTGTGGGGGGTTGAGGGAGGCAGGGGAGAAGACAGGGAGAGAATGAGAGAGGGGAAGCAGACTCCTGGTCGAGCACAGAGCCCAACATTGGGCTCAATCCCAGGACCCTGAGATCATGACCTGAGCTGAAGGCATATGCTTAACCGACTGAGCCACCCAGGCACCCTATAAGAAATGTTAAAGGGAATTCTTTAACTGAAAAGGCCATCAATCGAAAAAACTTTTTTTTTTTAAAGATTTTATTTACTTATTCATGAGAGACAAAGAGAGACAGAGGCAGAGACAAAGGCAGAGGGAGAAGCAGTCTCCATGCAGGGAGCCTGATGTGGGACTTGATCCCAGGACTCCAGGATCACGGCCTGGGCCAAAGGCAAGCACTAAACCGCTGAGCCACCCAGACGTCCCTCGAAGAAAATTATGAAAAGAAGAAATTTCACAGGTAAAAGCAAATACATAGTAAAGGTAGTGGATTAATCACTTATGAAGCCAGTATGGAGGTTAAAACAAAAAAAGTAGTAAAATCTATTAAATCTACAAAAATTAGTCTAGGAATAGACAAAATAAAAGGATGTAATTAAAATGACATCATATACATAAAATGTGGAAAGTGTACTAAAGATGTAGGGTCTTCAGAATATGTTCAAAATAAAGCGACCATCAACTTAACAGAGACTGCTATACACATAAGATGCTATATATGAACCCAATGGTAACCACAAATCAAAAACCTGTCATACACAAAATCAAAGAGAAAGGAATCCAAGCATAACATTAAAGAAATCCATCAAACCGCAAGAGAGGGACATAACAATTGTAAATATCTATGTACAAAATATAGAAACATCTAAATACATAGAGCAAACATTAACAGATATAAAAGAAAAATTGGTAGTAATAGAGGGGACGTTAACACCTCACTTGTATCAATGGATAAATCATCTAGACTGCATATCTACATGAAAACTGTAGCTTTGAATGACATATTAGTTAGACCAGATGGACTAAACAGGTATATATAGAATATTCCTCCCAAACCAGCAGAATTCACATTCTTTTCAAGTGCACATGGGAACACGACAGATGACGTGTTAGGCCACAAAGTCTCAATAAATTTAAGACTGAAATCATATCAAGTATCTCTGATAACAACAGTATGAAACTACAAATCAATTATAAGAAAAAAAATGAAAAAAAACAAACATACACAGGCTAAAAAACAGGCTAACTAAACAATGAATGGGTCAATGAAGAAATGAGAGAAAATAAAAAATACATGGAGACAAATGAAAATGAAATAGTCCAAAATCTTTGGGACTCAGCAAAAAGCCGTTCTAAGAGGGAAGTTTATAGTACTTGAAAAAGCAAAACAAATCTCAAATCTAACCATATACCTAAAAGAGTTAGCAAAAAGTCCAAAGCTAGTAGAAAGAAGAAAATAACAGAGTAAAAATAAATTTAAATAGATTTTAAAAAATAGAAAAGACCATTTGAAAAGATAAAACAGAATAACTGATAAAGCATTAGCCACTCATCAAGAAAAAAAGAATACTCAAAATCAGAAATGTAGAAGAAATAATGACATTTCAGAAACACAAGAGATTATATTAGAGTATTATGAAAAATTATATGCCAAAACCTGGACAACCTAGAAGAAACGGGTAAATTCCTAGAAACATATAATCTTACTGGAAGAAATAGAAAAAAAAAATTTTTTTAAACCCAGGAGCACAAGTTTGTTTGTTTTTTTTTTTTTTAAGTTTATTTATTTATTCATGAAAGACAGAGAGAGAGAGAGACAGAGACATAGGCAGAGGGAGAAGCAGGCTCCATGAAGGGAGCCTGATGTGGGACTCAAATCCTGGATCCCGGGATCAGGCCGAGCCAAAGGCAGACGCTCAACTGCTGAGCCACAACAGGCGTCCCAGAAATAGAAAATTTGAATAAATGAATTACTAGTAATTAAATTGAATCAGTAATCAAAAAATTCTCAACAATCTAAAGTCAGGACTGGCTTCACAGGTGAATTCTACCAAACATTTAAGAAAAGTTAATACCGGGGATCCCTGGGTGGCGCAGCAGTCTGGCGCCTGCCTTTGGCCCAGGGCGCGATCCTGGAGACCCGGGATCGAGTCCCACATCGGGCTCCCGGTGCATGGAGCCTGCTTCTCCCTCTGCCTGTGTCTCTGCCTCTCTCTCTCTCTCTCTCTCTCTCTGTGACTATCATAAATAAAAAAAAAAAATCTCTTTAAAAAAAAAAAAAAAGAAAAGAAAAGTTAATACCTATTCTTCTCAAACTACTCTAAAAAATTGAATAGGAAGGAAAACTGGCTTAGAATAATCAATTGATTTCAATACTCACTTGAGATGGGACAGCTCAATGATAGCTTGACAAAAAAGATTCTAAGATAAATCTCGTTAATGTAAGCTGACAAGGAGAAGCCACTATATACTTGATCATTTAAAATGCATTGAAAAGAATTACCTGTTTATATTCATTAACACAACCTTGGCAGCAAAATCTTGTCTGCTGACCTTCAACGATCAGGACATTGTTTCCAGCACTTTTACTGGGCAAGTACTCTCCACATTGTTCACAGCAATTCATTATTAAACCATTGGCCAGCCTGTACTTATTGAAGCACTGGTTACTGCACAGTTTATGTATTACATTATTAACGCTGACTTCATGGCGAATCTAAAAGAAAAGCCAGAATTTATTACATAAATGAGTCAGATTAGCACAGTTAACAGTAAGATACCTGTTTCTTTTTTTTTTTTTTTTTTAATTTTTATTTATTTATGACAGTCACACAGATAGAGAGAGAGAGGTAGAGACACAGGCAGAGGGAGAAGCAGGCTCCATGCACCGGGAGCCCGACGTGGGATTCGATCCCGGGTCTCCAGGATCGCGCCCCGGGCCAAAGGCAGGCGCCAAACCGCTGCGCCACCCAGGGATCCCAAGATACCTGTTTCTTAAAAAACAAAACAAATCAACTTCTAGTAATTTCTCAATGGAAGAAATATTCAGGGAAAAGGCTAAAAAGCACATTTTGTTATTCTTTCATTTTTATCACGGATTCCTTTGTAAAATCATCCTTTGATTTTATAAAAGAGAAAAAGTAAGATTCATAGAAAAAGCTATAAAAACAGTATTTACTTCCCCAGAGACACTTAAAGAACTAGAAGAAATGAACTGTTTTAGAAGACTTTGATATAGGGATGCCTGGGTGGCTCAGTGGTTGAGCATATGCCTTTGGCTTGGGGTCTGATCCCGGGATTCCAGGACTGGGTCCCACATCAGGCTTCTTACATGGAGCCTGCTTCTTCCTCTACATGTGTCTCTGCCTCTTTCTGTCTCTCATGAGTAAATAAATAAAATCTTAAAAAAAAAAAAAAGACTTTGATATCTGCTTAAAAGAAATAGATTGGGAATTTCTGGATTATAAACATCATTGCCCTAGAAAATTCATGAGAGGGACTAAAAGAATCAATACTATCGTACTCAGGATGGTGTCTCTATATACATAATTAAGGTAGTTCTTGCTTTCCTCAGTTCTGTGGTAATGGAGATTAAATTGTGTCAATTTGCAAGGCTCTGGGAAACACCAAATTCAGTTACCAAAGACTGTGTTATGTGAAGACTGTATGAATGTTTTGTCTTTCAGCAACTGGAAAGGTGGTATACCACCTAAGAAATGTGAAGTTACCAACATACTTACACTCCACTTGTTCTACATATTCTTGTACCAGGATTGGTTGTACTCTTCATGTCCTGAACCTACACTTTTATTTAGAGTGGCTAATAACAAAATTCACCACAGAACTATTGTTTTGTTTAGGAGTATATCCAATTCCATGGAAATTGCCATGTACTTTCCATAACATGCAAATGGGAAATTTATTCCTAAGAGGGTTAGTTCTATCATATCCTTATTCTTTTCTTTAACTTTATCGTGTAGATCCAGGACAGGTGTATTATGTAGATGGCAGAGCATATAATAACACTTCAGCTAGAATTATCCCTGTTCATCTAGATAATAACTGAAATAAGATAAAAATTCACACCTCTGTTAGTTTACTACAGATCATGCATCTTGATTTATTAACTTTTTTTCTAAGATTCTGGTTGTCTTCATAGGGAGACAAAGACGTACTACTACAAAATTCTTGGGAGGATTCTCTTGACTCAACTTGAACAGCAGAAGCCTTTTTTGTAGGTACATCTCTGAAACAAGGGACACACACAAGAATGTTGCATTTTAATAAAAGTCAAATATATGAACAATAAACAGTATTTTTCACTTTTTCTAATTTAATCCTAGGAATCAACTATAATTTTTGGATCTAACAAACCCACTTTTTGGTTTCATTGTCAAGAGTTCCTTCTTTACTAATATGGCAAGAGATGATTTGGAGGTAAAAACATTTTGTAGCATAAGACCCCTGTCACAGGTTATTATGACTTTTTGAAGCATTCAAAAATGTGGCAGCAATTTTATAGAACTAAGGTAAAAGTTGGGGAGGGATGAAGCAAGCGGCAGGGAGAGGATTAATTAATTCCTATACCTGCACTCCATTTTCCTGTGAAGAATAAGGACAGTACAAATGAACCCACAGCTGATACACCCATAGGAAAATTCAAGCTCAAAAACCTTCAAGATACCTCTGCAATAATTGTATCCATTAATTTATGCAGCTCTCCAATTACGTTCAACACACATCTATACTGCTAGTATTCAACTACATGAAGTCATGTTAAAAAGTACAGCTTACTTTTTACTTATTATGTTGCGTTTCTTTGAAGTGCGCTTATGAGAGAAGGAAGAAAGGCAGGTGGTAGAACAAAAGAGGTGAACTGATCCTTTTCGTTGATAAGCTGTCTGTCCTTTCTGTAAAGGCTTTTTGCAATGTGCACAAGTAATTTTAGCTGGTTTTGTAAGTTGCTGTTGGACTGAAGACTGGAAAATCTGTTTAGGAAGGGAGGCCACTGGTGATAAAAAATCTACACCTGGCTGTTTCTGATTACGGGGAAATGATGCTGACTGGGAGATCCAAGAATCTTAAAAATAAAACACACAGAAGAAAAGTCATGGAATAATTCAAAATTCACATCCAAAAAATATTTTAAATTTTCATGTTGCTTAACTTTAAGAGGATGAGGCAGCCCTGTAATCAAGTGGTTAAGACCAGGCAGCTCTGTTGCACAATCCCAGAGGAATTCTCCACTTTGTATTCTTTTTTTCTTTTTTGGAGAATCTTAAGCAGGCTCTAGGCCCACTGTGGAGCCTGACAGGCAGGCTCTATCTCACAACCTTGAGATTATAACCTGAGCTGAAATCAAGACTTGGATGTTTAACTGACTAAGCCACCCAGGTGCCCCTCCACTACTGTGCCAAAAATATAAATAGTGGCCCTTGAATCAGGCAATGTGGTAATCATCATCACTTAAGTCAGAGACCCCAGGTTCAAAAATGCATCTTCTATGCTTACTTTAAGATCATGCAAAATATATTAAATTGTGTTTTGTTGGTTTTCTCAGCTACAAACTGGTAACGATACCTAACTCATTGGAATGTTACAAAGACTAAATGAGATAATGCATATAGTAAAGCACTATGTTTGGTACATAGGGCACTTGCAAAAAAATATTAACCACTTTTTCTTCTTGAAGAGGAAAGTATTAAAACATAAAATAAAGCAGCTATGCAAAACAGAGATAACTATATCAGAACTCTGGGATCATGATCTGAGCTGAAGGCAGACACTTAATGAACTGAGCCACCCAGGTACTCCCTGCTCCAAATACTTTTTAAGGCAACTCATTCTACAATTCCTTCCCAGTCTTCTAAATATTATTCCATAATCATTAATATAGATGATGGGTTACTCTGGAAAGACTCAGCCTTCCTAACTTCACATAGGGACTCCTCCATCATATATTATTGTTAGCTTCAAAATGGTAAAATATGATGTATAGGTAAAACAATGTTTCTCAAACTTTAACATGCAAGAGATCACATGGGAATCTTGTTTAAACAGAGAATCTATTGGTGCCTGGCTGGCTCAGGTGGTAGAGCATGTGACTCTTGATCTCTGGCTTTTGAATTCAAGCCCCAGGATGGTTACAGAGAATACTTAAAAATAAAATCATATATATTTATTTTTTTCATTCATTCAAAATCAATAGGTCTAGGGGCACCTGGGTGGCTCAGTGATAGACTGTCTGCCTTCAGCTCAGGGCGTGATCCCCGGGTTCTGGGATTGAGTCCCACATCGGGCTCCCTGCATAGAGCCTGCTTCTCTCTCTGCCTGTGTCTCTGCCTCTCTCCCCATCTCTCATGAATAAATAAATAAATAAATTCTTTAAAAAACAAAAACAACAACAACAACAACAACAAAGTCAATAGGTCTAGACAGGGGCCTGAGGTTCTACACCTCTAACTCTCACATGATAGTAAAGCCTTGAAGCCCCAGAGTACTGAATTATTCTATCATTGTCTTCAAAAACAACTCTTTTGTCGGGGCACCTGGGTGGTTCAGTTAACTGAGCATTCAACTCTTGATTTTGGCTCAGGTCATCTCATGGGTGGTAGGATCCAGCTCCATGTCAGCGGGGTTATCTTCTTGAAGGTTCTCTCCCTCTACCCCTCCCCCATCCAGGCAAACTCTAAAATACATACATAAGTATTTTAAAAAATTGCTTTTGTCATTAGCAAGACTATGACATTAGCAAGACTATGTCTATGGCCTGTCACAATCCCAAAGGCCTCTCACAGTACTAATATTAACAACTATATTTTCATTTCTAAATTCCCATCTACTGCTTGTAATTTTCTTTGTCTGATTTCAAGATATCTTTATCTTACAAGCTAAAATAAAACAGAACAAATAATAAAAGCAATTCTTCCATTCCACAGGATGACATGCTGGCAAATGTGGAATATATTACAATAAAGTCTTTTATCAGCCGGTACTCAAGTTTCATTACTACTAAATTTTCCTACTTTTGAACCATTCCAAGGAAAACAAAAATTATGTATTCAATTGAACAAACATAGGTTCTTTCTGGGATCAAATGTCACTGCATATCATCTAGATACCAAATTAGATTTAATAAATAACAGAAACAAAAGATAGCAACAATTACAAGATTTGTCATTACCATTAATATGGGAGAAATATAAATCCTGAACAAAAAATACTAGGCTTTTACATTTTGTAGACTTACCCATAAAGGTGGCATATTTATATATAATTATGGAATGTGAGACATCAACTATATGCTTAGGACAGTAATTAGATTCTAAAATTTCTTTCTTTTTAAAGACTGAATTTATTTATTAGACAGAATGAGCAGGGGGTAGGCAGAGGGAGAAACAGACCCCCAGCTAAGCAGGGAGCCCAACCCAAGGCTCAACCCCAGGACCTTGGGATCTTGACCTGAGCCAAAGGCAGTTGCTTAACCAACTGAGCCACCCAGGTGCCTCAACAAGAGTCGAGAAAATAAAAGAAAATTTCTTTTTTTTAAAACAGATTTTTTAAGTAATCTCTATACCCAACATACGGCTCAAACTCAGACCGTGAGATAAAGAGTCATATATGCTCTCCCAACTAAGGCAGCCAGGTGCCTCAAGATTCTGAAATTTTTCACTCTAGCTTTGGTACATACATAAATAAAACAAATGTTTCCTTTGTTAACAGCACAACTGTTTAACTTCTCCAAATTTCAAAACTTATTTTATCAAAATTTTATTTCATTTTATTTTTAGTAATTGTGTCTTTAGGTTAAACTTTTTTTTTTTTAAAGAAACCTAGCTTTATTTTTTATTTTATTTAAAGATTTTATTTATTCACAGAGAAAGAGGCAGACACAGAGAGAGAAGTAGGCTCCATGCAGGGAGCCCGATGTGGGACTCAATCCTGGGACTCCAGGATCATGCCAGGGGCCAAGGGCAGGCACTCAACCCCTGAGCCATCCACATGTCCCTAAACTTAACCTTTTAATCAAATTCTTCCATGTCCTATCCCAAGAATGTTTTAAGAGAAGATACCTAGTAGATTATATAGTTCAAATCCTTGATTATTTGCAAAGAAAATTAACACCTAGAAGCTACATGATTAAATACTAGGTACACTACTGACTTTTAGGTGCCTTTTTTTTTTTTTTTTTTTTTTTACTTTAAGGTGTTCTTCATTTGTTCTTGCAACTGAACTCTTCTACCTAAAAAATATTTTAGTATTTCTTTACTGTTGGTCTGCTAGTGAAAACTTCCTTTGGTGTCTCAGTGGGGGTATGTTTTTGGTCGTTAAAGAATAACATGTATACATAAAATTAATAAATCTTAAGTATGGAGCTCAATTAAACTTTTAAAAAGTTTCTTTGCTTTGTTTTGCTTTTTTCAGAGTGGGAGAGACCTCAAGACAGATGGTGAGAGAGGGAGAGACTCTTAAGCAGGCTCCATGCCCAGTGCAGAGCTTGACCAGGGCTCAATCTCACAATACTGAGATCATGACCTGAGCCGATATCAACATATATACTTGCATGACTACCACCCACATAAACAAAAAGTCCAATATCTCAGAAGCTTTGTCTTTTCTCACTTGATAATTTTTCCTTTCCATAAGCCATTCCTATTCTGACTTCAAAGATTAGTTTTCTTGGGCTCCTGGGTGGCTCAGTCAGGTAAGTATGTCTGTCTTCAGCTCAGGTCATGATCCCAGGAGCCTAAGATCCAGTCCTGCATTGGGCTCCCTACTCAATGGGGAGTCTACTTCTCCTTTACCCCTCCCCACTGCTTGTGATCTCTAATAAATAAAATCTTTAAAAAAATTAGTTTCCTTTTATTTTGAAATTCACATACATAAATTAATACAGTACATACATACTCTTCTGTGGCTGATCCCCTAACTCAACATCTTGTCTATAAGGGGCACTCAGTAGTATTCTATTGTGTAGCGAGAACTATTTATCCAACTGTTGATGGACATATGGATTGTTACAAATTTTTTTTTTTTTTAAAGAACAGTCTAATACTTTAATCAAGTTCCAGCAAGAGGGCACACTGATTTGGAAAGCATTTGTCTCAGCAGAAAACGCAAGGGTGTGTGTAAAAGAATGTTTCTAGAAAATACCAAAGGCACCAAACCTTAACTTTGCCTTCCATTTCCCCTCGATGCCACTGCATACCCTGGGTGGGGAGGCTACTTCGTCCAGCTGACTTTGGGAATGTCATAGTGCTAGCTAAGGGTGTCCAAATGTCTCTTGAAGTCCTCCACTCTCTGCTTATGGGTTTTGGATGTTTTCTTTAGGATCCTTTCCACTTGCCACTTCTCCTGCATCTTCTCGAAGGCCGCCTGGGCTGGGGTTTGCTTGTCCAGGCCACGCTGCTTCCCCTTCTTGTTCTTTTTGCTCGTTCCCATCGCTTCTGGGAGTTTCGCCTTGTCTTTGTCCTTCTTTTTCTTCTTCCGCTTGGTCACACCAAACACTGCAAAGCCTTTTACTTTCAGGGGCCCCTTCTGACGCTGCTTGTAGGCCGCCATGATGCCGCTTGCTTTTCTCCATTTTTTTTTTTAAGATTTTATTTATTTATTCATGAGAGGCAGAGAGAGAGAAAGAGGCAGAGACACAGGCAGAGGGAGAAGTAGAATCCATGCAGGGAACCCGATGTAGGACTCGATCCCAGGTCTTCAGGATCACACCCTGGACTGAAGGCGGCTCTAAACCACTGAGCCATCTGTGCTGCCCAGATTGTTACAAATTTTGACTATGATTTCTATACATGTCTTTTAGTGGTTTCTTTTTTTTTTTTCTTTTAGTGGTTTCTTAAGGTATTCGTTCTGCATGGGGTTTTAAGTGTTCTTGAATTTGTAGGTTAGTATTTTTTGTCCATTTTTCTCAGTTGTACCTCTTCTGTCTCACTTCTTTCCTCCTCTTTCTGGGACATTAAATACATGTCCTTTTCATCAAGTGTCATAGATATCTTTCTGGTTTTCCACCCTTGTGACTGATTTTCTCATATATCTTACAGTTCACCTACACTTTTCAGCTATGCTCAATCTGCAGTTAAACTGTATAGTTCCTTAAAATCTGCATCTGATAATCCTATTGTCTGTTTTCTTCTTGATTTGCTGTCATATGGCCTTGTCTCACGTTCCTGATTGCTGTTTACATGAAAAACTAAAAAAAATTTGAGGCTCTGGATTATGTTAGCATCCCAAGCCAGGGGTTGGAAGAGTTGTGTTTTTGTTGGTTTTTTGTTTTTTTTTTTACCAGTATCCCTCCTTTCTGGGCCCCTGTGAATTCACTGAAAGTTCTTACAGCCTTTCTCTGCATTTTTTTCGTAGAACTGAACACACACCCGTAAGAGAAAACCAGCCTTAAGTAACAGATTACTTTTCTGAGGTTCCGTCTCTTAATCTTAGGACCTTCATTTTCCCACTACATTTATACTTCTGTGATGCTTTCAATGCATATTTTATATATTTTGCCCCTCCCCAATTACTCTCTGCAAGAGGCATTGGAATTACCTAGTCTTTTATTATCAGAAAAAAAGCCTTAGAATCATAATAGCCAGAACTGTTTATAATGCAGTAAAAAACAAAACAAACAAAACCAGATGCAAGAGCAATTTCTACATATAGGTATTTTCTGTGAATTTTTTGCTGTTTATATAAAAGATACATGATGAGTAGAAAGAACTTCTGCTGAAAGTCAACACTAAAAGTTAATAAAAGGATTAAATGACTCAAAGGCCCATTCTAATCGGTATCATCCTATTTTTTCAAGACGAAATGCAAAGTTTTATGTGTATTTTATACAGACCCATAATTCTAGATGATGAAATTTGAACCTATAAGCCCTAGATTTATTTGTAACTCAACTCCAGAAATCTTCATCTTGTTCTTTTTTTTCTTTTTTCTCTTTTGGAAATCCTTCTATATATAGAAATAGAAAGCACAGAAAAACTAATGTAAGACACTGACTCTAAGTAACAAAAATTATAATAATAATATAATTAGTCACACCTTCTAGAAGTCTAGTAGAATTTAGTTAGTTTTACTAATACTAACAGCAAGCAAAACCAAAACCTAGGGCAAATACTAAAATGAGAAAAACTGGGGCACCTGGGTAGCTCAGTGGTTGAGCATCTGTCTTTGGCTCAGGACATCATCCCAGGGTCCTGGGATCAAATCCTACACCAAGCTTCCTGTAGGAAAGCTTGTTTGTCCCTCTGCCTAGGTCTTTGCCTGTCTGTGTCTCTCTCATGAATGAATAAATAAAATCTTTAAAAAGTAAATAAAATTAGACAACTTTTATTATGCTACATTCAAGTTAAAGACAGAAAAACAGCAACGACAAAAAGATTGTCCTTTTGACACTTGATTGAACATTTAAGAAAGCATCAAACATATCTTCAGCATCACTTTTCACCTAATTTGGTAAATAATCTTTTTTTTTTAAAGATTTTATTTATTTATTCATAGAAATGCAGAGAGAGAGAGAGAGAGAGAGAGAGAGAGGCAGAGACACAGGCAGAGGGAGAAGCAGGCTCCATGCAGAGAGCCCGACATGGGGACTCGATCCAGGGTCTCCAGATCACGCCCTGGGCTGCAGGCGGCGCTAAACCGCTGCGCCATCGGGGCTGCCCAATCTTTTTGAAGTTCCACACTAAGTGTTATTATTTAAAGGATATAGGTTGGGACACCTGGGTGGCTCAGCAGTTGAGTGCCTGCCTTCGGCCCAGGGCAAGATCCTGGAGTCCTGGGATCAAGTCCCACATCGGGCTCGCTGCATGGAGCCTGCTTCTCCCTCTGCCTGTCTCTGTCTCTCTCTCTGTGGGTCTCCCTTGAATAAATAAATAAAATCTTAAAAAGGGGGGAGGGGATATAGTTCTGTAACTTTTGTTCCCCAAAATAGAATTTTAGAGAATTCAGGAATGTTATAAATTCATGCATACTTCATAAATAACAGAAATTTGTGGGATGCCTGGGTGGCTCAGCAATTGAGCATCTGCCTTTTGCTCAGGGCGTGATCCCAGAGTTCTAAGATCGAGTCCCACATCAGGCTCCCTGCATGCAGCCTGCTTCTCCCTCTGCCAATGTCTCTGCCTCTCTCTCTCTCTCGATCATGAATAAATAAATAAAAATCTTAAAAAAAAAATTTGTTGCCATGTATCAAACCAAAATAGTTTAATTTTTTGTTCAGATTTTATTTATTCAGGAGCGACACACAGTGTCTTTTCTTTGTAATGTTTTAAAATCACTGATCTTTCACATTATGAGAAAACATAGAAATGTAAAATACACTTATGAATTAATGATAAAAAAGTTGACAAGGCAAGAATAATTGAAACTACTTCCAAATAACATTTGCAAATCTCAATTATGTCCACAACTTGAATGGAACAATAGTATAGAATCTAACCACAGTATGCTTTCTTATAGGATCAATCTATGCTCTGCTTTTATTTTTTTTATTTTTAAAGATTTTTTTATTTATTTATCCATGAGAGAATAAACTTACTTTCTTTACCACATAAATGTTTCCATATTGTAAGGTCAGAAGTAGGAGTATTATTTATTTGGTTAAATAACCATTTTTTGGTCGGGGCAATTTTGTATTAACCATCAAAAGTTTTAAAATTATGTTGACACTTGGAGTGCCTGCTTGGCTCAGTCGGTTGGGTGTCCCACTCTTGGTTTTGGCTCAGGTCATGATCTTGGGGTCATGGGATCAAGTCCCAAGTTAGGCTTCACCCTCAGCACAGAGTCTGCTTGGGATTCTCTCCCTTTCCTTATTCTCTCCATGCTTGCATGTGTACACAAGACTTCTAAAATAAATACATAAAATCTTAAAAAAAAAATCTTGACATTCACTTAGCAATTCCACCTACCAAAACTTTTCTCAAGAAAATAAGTGAAGTGTGCCACCTTAGAGATATTCATGAAAACCTCTTTTCAATTGTAAAGACCAGAAACTTCAAATAACAATTAAATGCTTAAATAAACATAAAAAAGATAATTATATTTGACAAAGGCTAATAATGATGAAATGTCAATAGCTTCCCTCCCCCCACCCCAGGTCAAGAACAAGGCAAGACTTTATACTCTTCCCATTTCTATTCAACAACTTATCAGAGAAAGAAATAAAAGGGGATCTGTGAGGCCAAACTATTTCCATGACAATACTAAGATTATTTGCATTTTTCACTGTGTTGGCATTTACAGTAATGGTATAAAAGCAGTGGTAAGTAAAACTGCTGGCAGTGGAATGGAATTATATTTTTTCACTATCATACAGAAAAGAAAAAGTGTCACCTCCATTTATGGTTGTTATACCACCACCAATTAGTCAATGTAATTCTGACACTACCCTGGAATTAGCATCAGACTCCACAGGTTCTTTTGCTTTGTTTTTAAGATTTTATTTATTTATTCATGAGACACGGCGGGAGAGAGGGAGTGAAAGAGAGAGAGAGAGAGAGAGAGGCAGAGACATAGGCAGAGGGAGAAGCAGGCTCCATGCAGGGAGCCTGATGTGGGAATTGATCCTGGGACTCTAGGATCACGCCCTGGGCCAAAGGCAGGAGCTAAACCCCTGAGCCACCTAGGGATCCCAACTCCACAGGTTTAAAAGGCATAATCCCCACCAAGACTGACAGAACTTCAGATGCCACCCATACTTCTGGCCAATTAGCTATAAATCCGGAGATTCTTAAAACCGCCTCAGATTTAATAATTTGCTAGAATGACTCACAGAATTTAGGAGAGCTCTATATTTAGAATCACAGTGTTAATATAAAAGATTCAAATCAGGACCAACCAAATGAAAGGACAAAGAAGGGTAAGGTATAGAAGGCTCCAAATGCAGAGTTGCAGGTAGTGTTACCTACCTGGCATGTTGAGGAGTTCAACAACTAGGAGACTGCATTGAGCTTCGGTATCTAGTTTTTATTGGCAATTCATTGCATGTGACTGAACTCAACCTATAGCCTCCCTCTTCTCCCTTGAGATGGAGCTAGCTAAAACCTCCAACACTCTAAATTACATGGTTGGTCTTTCTGGGGACCCTCCCTCAGACTCAGTCATCTCATCTAGATCTTAACCCAAATTCAAGTGTGATCCAAAGGGCTCATAAATAAATAACACTATCCCAAATACTTGGAAGTTCCAAGGATTTAGTCTTTCTCCTAAGAACTAAAGATAAAGGCCAGTGGAATTATTTATTATAAAATAGATGTCCATGATAAAACAGTAATAATTAGCATTAATTTTACTAAATTTAAGCTTTTTTTTTTTTAAAGATTTTATTTATATATTCATGAGAGACACAGAGAGAGGCGGAGACATAGGCAGAGAGAGAAGCAGGCTCCAAGCAGGAAGCCCGATGTGGGAATTGATCCCAGAACTCCGGGATCACGCCCTGAGCCAATGGCAGGCGCTCAAAATTTAGGCCTTTGGGCATCCCTAAATTTAAGCCTTTAATTGCATCCTAATAATCTGGTGAACAGAAACATGCATAAACAGAGAAGTATACATAAACCACTTCTGTTTTATACTAAAATACGATAGCTGTCTGAAAGAAAAGTGCTTGTAAAATAGTTACATTGCAAGCTGAACTATATTTCTTTATGAAATACCATTTTTTCTTGAAAGAATAACTGACAAACTATTTATTGACATTTTCTTGAAAATAAATCAAGGAAAATTCACTTCAAGAAAAATGACAGTATTTGTTGCTGAGAATATTAGCAGTTTGAAAACTGTATCCACTACTGTCAGCTTGACAGCTTTCTAAAGTGTCAACATTTAAAATAAATGAATTCTCAACATCTAGAAGTTCAGTGAATCATTATTTTCCAAATATATATATATGTATTTTTAAAATTTTATTTATTTATGAGAGGGAGAGTGCAAGCACACATGAGCAAGGGGGAGGGGCAGAGGGAGAAGCATAATCCCCACTGAACAGACAACTTGTCATGGGGCTCAATCCCAGGACCCTGAGATCATTAACTGAGCCAAAGGCAGACACTTAACCAACTGAGTTACCCAAATACACACACACACACACACACACACACACACACACACACATAATTGGGCTGATGAGACTGAGGACCTCAAAATGGCGGACCCGAGGACAGCAACTTCCCAATAAGACCGCCCTACCCCCATCTTCCTGCCAACACCCCTTTGCCACCCTACTCTAACTTAGCTTACAAAGACCTGTAACCCTTGCCCTAACTGGAATGCCGCCCTACCTCTTTATAACCACCCCCCCACCCCCCGCCCCGCCCTGCGGTTTTGCCTGGGCATGACTTCCCTGACTCAGAGAGGCTCCAGTCAGGGAACCTCGCCCAGGAGTGCTCCCCATCGCTCCCCATTAAAGCACTCTCGAACCTAGCGCCTGGCTCTGCTGTCTTTAATTTTCTCTGCCGATCATTAAAAGAAAACCTAACATATATGTATATATTTTTAATATTTTATTTATTTATTCATGAGAGACACAGAGAGAGAGGCAGAGACACAGGCAGAGGGAGAAGCAGGCTCTATGCAGGTAGCCCAATGCAGTACTCGATCCCAGGTCTCCAGGATCACACCCTGGGCTGCAGGCGGCGCTAATAAGCTGCACCACCGGGGCTGCCCTATATATATTTTTTAATTGACCAAAGCATAATGCTACCAAATCATACAAAGGTAAAAGATCCATTCACATATCAATAATCTTGATGTAATAGAGTAGGAAAATTTCATTATATGGTTTCAGATTCCACACTGTTAAGGAACTTTAAGGAAACTGCCATGTGTCAAGTTTTGGTGCTGCGTCAAAAAATTCTACAACTATCCGTATTTATTTAAAATAGTGCTCTCTTCTACAACCAAATATGCGTGTGAGGCCAGATTTTCTTTTTATACTTAAAACATGATTTCAACAGATTCAATATAGAAATAGATGTGAGAAATTACCATATACCTTGCTATTACATTAGACTTTAAAAGAGATTTGCAAAAATATGGAGATCCCTGGGTGGTTCAGTGGTTTAGCACCTGCCTTTGGCCCAGGGCATGATCCAGGAGTCTCAGGATCAATCCTACATCCGACTCCCTGCATGGAGCCTGCTTCTCCCTCTGCCTCTCTCTCTCTCTCTCTATCATGAATAAATAAAATCTTAAAAAAAGAGAGAGATTTGCAGAAATGTAAAACAAAGCTACTGTTCACTTAATATTGAAAATAGTTTTCATTAAAAATGGTATTGTCATACTTCTAAAAACTTCTTAGGCTTGAGTTTCTAACACGGTAATTGATATAAATTTTGAAAACCTTGGGGTCCTCAATTATTTTTAAGAGTGAAACTGAGCCTAAAATGCATGAGAACTATCCTACAGAAATAATAAACAATGTAAACAAAGAATTTAGTGTAGGGGATCCCTGGGTGGCTCAGTGGTTTAGCGCCTGCCTTTGGCTCAGGGCGTGACCCCTGGGTCCCGGGATCGAGTCCTGCGTCGGGCTCCCTGCATGGAGCCTGCTTCTCCCTCTGCCTGTGTCTCTGCCTCTCTCTGTATGCCTCTCATTAATAAATAAATAAAATCAAAAACAAAAAACAAGAACAAAAACAAAAAAAAAGAATTTAGTGTAGAGTCTCAACAGTAAAAACAGGAGATCATAGAGGCACCTGATGGCCTTTTGCTCACGTCATGATCTCAGGGTCCTGGGATCAAGGCTCACATGAGGCTCTCTGCTAAGAAGGAAGTCTGTGGCTCCCTCTCCCTTTGCCCCTCCCCCTCATTCGTGTGCACACATGCTGTCTCTTTCAAATGAATAACTAAAATCTTTTTTTTTTTTTAAGATTTTATTTATCCATTCATGAGAAATACAGAGAGAGAGGCAGAGACCAGGCAGAGGGAGAAGCAGGCTCCATGCAGGAAGCCCGATACAGGACTCGATCCCAGGACTCCAGGATCACGCCCTGGGCCAAAGGCAGGCGCTAAACCGCTGAGCCACCCAGGGGATCCTCTATGATCTCTAACTAAAATCTTAAGAAAGAAAAAAAGAAAAAAAAAAAAGGAAACCATACAAATGCTAAAAAAAAAATTAAAAAGGTAGAGGAGGAACAGGTACCTCAGACAAAAAATTATTTTTTATAGACATGGAAACTTCTATTTTTTTTTAAGATTTATTTATCGGAGGGATGCCTGGGTGGCTCAGTGGTTGAGCAACTGCCTTTGGCTAAGGGCATGATCCTGGAGTCCCTGGGTCGAGTCCCACATTGTGTTCCCTGCATGGAGCCTGCTTCTCCCTCCTCCTGTGTCTCTGCCTCTCTCTCTCTAGGTCTATCATAAATAAATAAATCTTTGAAAAAAAACAAAAAATAAAAATAAAATAACGATACTAGTAAAAGGATGGTGGTAATAAAGTATGGAGGTTTTCAATCAAAAACTTCTGATGTGGGCAGCCCAGGTGGCTCAGTGGTTTAGCGCCACCTTCAGCCCAGGGCGTGACCCTGAAGACCCACGTCGGGCTCCCTCCATGAAGCCCTGCTTCTCCCTCTGCCTGTGTCTCCGCCTCTCTCTCTCACTCTCTCTCTCTCTGTCTCTTATGAATAAATAAAAATCTTTAAAAAAAAAACAACTTCAGATGTATATCACAAAGGGTAAAATAGCTTTAATTTCTGGAAAATCAGGGACCAAGTAGGCTGCAGGTAAAATATTCTATCTTAATATGAAGTCAAGAAAACTAAAGTATTTCATATATACAGAAGTACAGAAGGTAAAGAAAATCACTTACTGCTTACCAGGACTATGATGAGTTGCGTATCCTCCATTCTGAAATTCATCTCCTGCCATATTCATTCTACCAGGATTAAAAGGTCCTACTCCAGTCTTGGTCTGTGAAGTCAAAGATGGGGTGTATGTTTGTATATTAACACCAAAATTACTTGACTGAAGTCCTTTAGCGACATCTCCCAAGTTGGTATTTTATAGTGATGTTACATGTGTAATCATTAAGTTCATATCTCACCCAGCATTCAGAGCTTATACCTGTTTCTAAGGTTGTAACATTAGTATTAGGAATTTCAGAGTCGCTTCTGTAGTGATAACATTATTACCCAATCCTGCATTTACCTTACTTCTTGAAAGACTGGAAGTGGAGAAATCCAAATCTTTGGTTCTATTTTTAGTTCCAGGAAGTCCCCATTCAATTAAATTGGAAGAATTTTTCTTTTCCCCTCCATTTGTTTCTATGTCCTCTTCATCATCGATAACAATTGTCTCACTTACATTTCCCTTTGGAGAAGCCAAATCTCTTGAGGAAGGAAGAATTATGGAATAATTTCCTTGTAGCCTTTCATTTCTTGATGAAGCAAATATAAAATTTCTTTGATCAGCTATTGCTGGAGTAGAAGTTGAAGGAGGTTGTATAGATTCAATAAATACAACATCATCATCATCATCTTCTTTCATCAATGAGTTTCTAGATCTGTTAACTACAAGACTACTTGGGTCACCAAATGAATTTCCTATATCTGTGAGACTAGCTGCCATGGCTTTATGCTCTAATAAAACAGGAGTCTGCTCAGTCAAGTCTAATCCTCTCAATGAACATTTATCCATGCCAAAGAACCTGTAGGAGACAGAAAATAGTAAAAAAAAAAAAAAAAAAAAAAAGTCTAGTATACTATGGCTATTGAGTTTTATTACTATGAAATAGCACAAATGAAATTTTAAATTCTTTTTCATGATTTATCTTTTATTTTTAAGATTTTATCTATTTATTCTGAGAGGCACAGAGAGAGAGGCAGAGACACAGGCAGAGGCAGAAACAGGCTTCATGCAGGGAGCCCGAAGTGGGACTCGATCCCGGGTCTCCAGGATCACACCCTGGGCCAAAGGCGGTGCTAAACTGCTAGGCCACCAGGGCTGCCCTTATTTATCTTTTAGCGAAAAAATTGTTATTTTGTTTTTCCTCTCCATTAATCATTTAACGCTCAGCTCAGAATTTAATGGAAATTAATCATCCAATTTGTGGTGGTCCTTAAAAAATTTACTCAATTTAACCTACTCATCTTTTACAATGAAAAAACTTAAGTCTTCCTTTGAAATAGGAAATATTAACAAAATAATTCTATCAAATACCAATAACCCTGAGCCCAAATATAATTACGTTACACTTTTATCTGCTAAAATAATCCTTATTTCCCTTGTGTCTTTTTTCACTAATTTTCGAATTCTCTGCTTCTGACATAACTGTGATTAAATCTTTCTGACATTCTTATTCTTGTTCAGGAATTGCCAGACATTATGCAATGGGTTTTATGTAAAATTCTGAAAACAGGCAGGCCCATTATGTAAGTATAATTTAATCCATTTTACAAATGAGGAAAGAGAAGCCAACTAAATTGTTGTGAGACCCAACAGGATTTAAATTCCAGACTCAAGACTAGGCCTCAAATTTTTAGCATTCAGTTATATTCAACAAAACAGTTTTGTGAACCTACTGTGCACTAGGGTATGACAAGGAAAGGATCCAGTACAGAGACCCAATTGAAGAATCTGGAAAAGTAAATTAATTGATGAAGCAAGGCTCTTAAAAGTAGAGGAGAGAAGATGAGGGTATATGCACAGGTGGTAATGAAAGTGATCATGAGTAAAAAAATATCACATCTCAAAGACCAAAGGGGAAAAGGTACATAAAAATGTAATGTATAGGGCAGCCCCAGTGGCACAGTGGTTTAGCGCCGCCTGCAGCCCAGGGCGTGATCCTGGAGACCCTGGATCGAGTCCCACTCAGGCTCCCTGCATGGAGCCTGCTTCTCCCTCTGCCTGTGTCTCTGCCTCTCTCTCTCTCTCTCTCTCTCTCTGTGTGTGTGTGTGTCTCTATGAATAAATAAATAAAATCTTTTAAAAAAATGTAATGTATAGAAGTATGTAGAAATGACAGATGAAAAGCTGAGGTAAATTTACATATGCTAGCCTCAACTTTTTTAGGACCTCAAGAGTGAAGAAGATGGGAATTGTATGGGTGTTGAATTATTAAGAAAACTCACTTCATATGGCAGTCATCATTCCATTTTAAACAACTCATACTGGGGAGCCCAGGTGGCTCAGTGGTTTAGCGCCGCCTTTAACCCAGGGCGTGATCCTGGAGACCCGGGATCGAGTCCCACATCAGGATCCCGGCATGAAGCCTGCTTTCTCCCTCTGCCTGGTTCTCCCTCTGCCTGTGTTTCTGCCTCAATCTCTCTGTTTCATAAATAAATACATACATACATACAAACCAACTCATACTGAAATATCGTAACATTTCCATTCTAAAATTTTTGCAACTAATTTTAATTGAGAAGTTATATAACAGATAAGACTTATTCCTAATAGGTATTATGTCATTCAATATTAACTCAGTTAATGCATATAAAAATGAAGTATAAACTATTCTTTTTCCCATTTTACCCATTAGGAAACTAAGACTCCATAGCTATGTAATCTCCATAGCCTGCCCAAGCATCCATTGCTGGAAAGGTTAGAGTCAGGATTCAAATCAAAGAAATCTGACTCTAGGGCAGCCCAGGTGGCTCAGTGGTTTGGCGCCGCCTTCAGCCCAGGGCGTGATCCTGGAGACCCAGGACTGAGTCCCACGTCAGGCTACCTGCATGGAGTCTGCTTCTCCCTCTGCCTGTGTCTCTGCCTCTTTCTCTCTCTGTGTGCCTCTCATGAATAAATAAATAAAATATTAAAAAAAAAAAAAGAGAAATCTGACTCTAGAATTAATACCATAGCCACCGTATTATTTGCAGTTAATGTATAAAACAATTTTTAGAAAATACTTACCTTTTATTAAGATGAATTTATTAAAACAAAATCAACATCCCATGTCCATTCCTTTCTCTTTTTTTTTTTTTAAAGATTTTATTGAGCCCTGGGCCGAAGGCAGGTGCTAAACGGCTAAGCCATACCGGTGTCCCCCAATGTCCATTTCAAAGAAAAAAAAATAACAGATCTAAGGGACCACTTTAAAAGAACTAAAAAACACAAAAATTGGGCCCATGGTTACTACACGTCCAGTGTGGTTGACTTTCAAAGGAAAGAAGCAATAATTTAGCCTAAACTGAGTCATGAAATATGAGAGCTGTTATATACGATCTCTTAGTCCTTTTTTTTTTTTAAGATTTTTATTTATTTATTCATGAGAGACACACACAGAGAGAGAGAGAGAGAGGCAGAGACACAGGCAGAGGGAGAAGCAGGCTCCATGCAGGGAGCCCAACGTGGGACTCGATCCTGGGTCCCCAGGATCACACGCTGGGCTGAAGGTGGCACTAAACCGCTGGGCCACCAGGGCTGCCCTTTTAGTCCTTTCTATATTTGAATAAACCTATAATAGAAAAGAACATTTTCTGGAAAAGAACCATAGGTGATTCCACAGTATCTTCTGGTAGCTGCTAGGATATATTTTAACCTTCTCAAAGAAAATAACAGAAAGAGCATTCTTGATGCTCCATTCATTGCAATCGTCTCTGAAAAAAATATTAAGTATTCACCTATTTTTGAGTCATAGATTACAAAAAAGTCAAACCACTACAAAAAGCCATTGTGCATATAATTTCACCAACTCTATTTTCTTTTTTTTTAATATTATTTTAATATTTTATTTATTTATTTATTTATTTATTTATTTATTTATTTATTCATGAGAGACACAGAGAGAGGAGCAGAGACATAGGCAGAGAGAGAAGCAGACTCCATGCAGGAAGCCGGATGTGGGACTCCATCCCAGGACCCTTCCCTGGAAGGCTTGTTTTTCAGAAACCGTCTTCTCTGTGGAATTAGGAACCAGCAAAAAAGGAAAGACCTAAAGATAATGACTCAAGATATTCTCCATCAAAGGGTTAAAAGAATCATCCACAGTGAAGCTCACAAATTGAAAGTCCACATATTTTTCTAATTTGCTTTCTACTTCTGAATTTTTAATCATGAGTAGACCAATCAAAAATTATTAAATATTTGAGGAAACTTCTAAGAATAGTCAAAAGAAAAAAGAGTGATAAATAATGCAGCAAAAACAAAAAAAAATGAAAAACCACAAAATTATCAATACTCTAGATGAGTAATGACTAAAAGTTAATAAAAAATGTCTAGATCAAAAGTTGCACACTCTCCTGACTGAGCCTGCAAGGCTACACATAGCAATCTATATGCTAACAGCACAGTGTCCTAGGTCTAACAAGCTAAAAACGTGTAACGTGAAGAATAAAGGAGTTAAGTACAAAGCCAAGTTTGATAAGGAGGACAAGGCCAAAGGGAAGGCAGGAAATACTACAATGCGAGTTATTCTGCTCACAAGTTTCTTTTCAATGACCAATTATAAATTGTTGGATCAGCTTTAAAGGACACACTAAGTAGGATGTAAGACTGTACCACATCCCAAGTAATAGATGTAGAATCAGTGACTTTTTTTTCCAAATCACTATCTTCAGACCCCTAATAAAATTATTATTCAGGCAAGAATTGGTGCTAAAAAACCATTAACTGAATAGCTAACAAAGAACTGGGCCCTTTATTGTACCAAAATGAAACATCACCTAATTATTTTCTGGTACAAGGAAAAGACATATTAACTTCATGGAGAGATCAGGCTGTGCGTTGGTACCAATTCAGTGGTCAATCGTAAAACCACAGCACTGAGACAACTACATCATGTATCTCCTGAAGTGATGCTGTCGGGAAGTCTAGCAGGGTACTTAAATCTTCCTCAAATATAAGAAGATAGCAAAAATACTCTGTCACCCCTAAAACAATAGAAGATTCATTATGTTTTCCTTTAATCCAACAGCGAAGAAAAAAATACTTTTATCCACCGGGAAGGAAAAAATAAAATTAAATGCGAAGCATTAAAAATGAAACCAACTTTAAAGTACAACTTTGGAACTCTAGAAACTCCAGTGGTGTAAGTACCAGCACGCATTCCCACTGCTTTCCCAGGAGTTTACCCAGCCTGTCTCCAAGGGCAGGGTCCACCTAAGCAATCAGCTCTTTTCCTTCATGATAACAAAGTCACCTAACTGTGGCACTAAGTGTATTAAAGAAAAGGGTGCAATTACTCACAAAGGTTATGGTTTCTTCTTTACTTTCTCCCGAAGTTTCCCCAGACGGGCCAAAAGGTCCTAGAACCAAAGGAGAGGGAAAATTAGTTACGCCCAATTAGGACGCAACAGCAAGCAAGTCCTTCACCACCAGGAGGAGGAAGCAGGGGCGGAAAGTGCAGGAGTTTCCGCGCTCTTCCACCCTCCCCCACCCGTGCTGGGAAGAAACCAAAGAAAATCCAAAAATCCGCACGGCCCTTAAAAACTAGACGCGCTCGGGATCCCTGGGTGGCGCAGCGGTTTGGCGCCTGCCTTTGGCTCAGGGCGCGATCCTGGAGACCCGGGATCGAATCCCACGTCGGGCTCCCGGTGCATGGAGCCTGCTTCTCCCTCTGCCTGTGTCTCTGCCTCTCTCTCTCTCTCTCTGTGACTATCATAAATAAATAAATTTAAAAAATTAAAAAAAAAAAACTAGACAGCGCTCAACGTCGTTTTGCAAACTACACGGTGGGAGGAGGGCGGACGGCACTCCCTCCGGACTCTGCCCCCTGGCCTCGCCCGTCACCGGCAGCACCTCGGGGTGAGGGGCCGCCACCGCACCGCCGAGCTGAAATCCCGTTGGCCGGAGCACTTGCAATGACTCGGAGACTGCCCGACTCCCGCCCGCCATTAAAACTAGCCCAAATTAGACATAAAGACAAGACGAGAAATGCCGGGGAAGGGAAGAGCGACGGAGGGGACCCGGCGGGGGAAGAGGCAGCACCCTCGCCCCGAAAAACTTGGGGACCTCGGGCTACCGCGGAGACGGTGCGAGCGCAGCCCCGAGAGCGGGAGAACCAACTGAGGCGCCCCTCCCCCCACCGCCCCACCACCACCACCCCCCCGCAAGGAAGAAAGGAAAAATACCCCGCGACCTCCCGCCGCCCCGGCCCGGGCCGCCCCCCGGCCCCCGAGCGACCCCCGCCTCTGGCGTCCGCCTCACCCAGCCCTCCCGGCCTCTCCCTCACTCTCGCAGCCCTTCGGGCCGCACGCGAAGACGCCTGTGACATGAGCGGAGCCCGGAGCAGCCCCCGAGGCCCCGACGCGGCAGCGGCGACGGCGGCCGCGCCGCGGGGTATTAATCCCGGGTCGGTGGGAGGCTCCGGAGGCTGCCCTCACCCATCTCCGCCTCCCCAGCCGCCTCCGCCTCCGCCTCCTCCTCCCGAGGCTGCGCTGCTCCCAGCCACCCCCACTATCGGCGGACCCGGACTGGAAAGACAGCGGGGATAAGCCTCACCCGGTTCTGGCTGCGGCTCCGCGGAACGAACCTCCCCTCCCCCGGCCCACCCCCCTTCGGCAACACGCACAACTCCGCTCGGTCCAGTCCCGGGTTTAGCGCTGGTGAGGAGGAGGAGGCGGAGGAGGCGGTGGCGCGGCCGAGCCCGGGGAGGCTCCGCCCTCCGCGCCCTCATTGGCCGGCGGGGAGGGCGGGCCGGGGCGCCCCGGGCGCGCCCATTGGCCACCTCTGCTGTCCCTCAGGACCCCCCTCGGGGGGGGGTGGTCCGAAGGGCTGTCCGTCAGGCGCGGGCCACGCCCCCCGGCGTTGCCGTTCCACTCCCCCCTCCGCCGGCGCTCGGCCCTCGGCCGCGTCCCCTCCCCTCCTTACCCCCGCCTCCCTCCCCGCCCCCACCCCCGGGTCCGTCAGGGTCAGGCAGCCCGAGTTACGCTGCCCGCTGCCCGCTGCCCCAGCCGCCGGCTCGCTCCCTGGGGGTCCGGGGTGCCCTCCAGGGCCCGGGACGGCCCGACACACCGGGGCCGTGGCCGCCTAGCCTGACTCGGGCCTGGGCGCCCGGGCCCCTGGAGCCGCTCCCAGCGACCCTGCCTGAGGAGAGACGCGGCCTCGATGTCCTCGGCGCCCTCCCTGTCCAGTGCGTGACGCCCCCCGGGAGGGCCGCGCCGGGGCAGGGGCCGCAGCGAGGCACGGCGGGAGGTCGGGGCAGCGCGCGCAGGGGGTCCCCGCGTGCGCTGAGGGGGTGGGAGCACCTCCACCGTCGCCTCAGCCCGTGGGGAATTGTCCCCCCACCTCCCGTCATGGCTGTAGGAGGAGACGACGTCCTCCATTTTGTCGGGACTGCTGTGGGAACTTGGGACCAATTCAAAACCAAAGCCCGTGGGGCTGGGAAACTTGGCCCCGCGAAGCCCCAACTGGGCTCCGCCATTCGGCCGAGGGCACAGCCCCTGATTCCAGCGCGTGCGTCCGAGGGGCCCCTGGGGCGGGCGCCACAGGGCACACACCCAGACGCCGCTCCCCGCCTGCATCCACCAAGATGGAGGAAGCTGCGGGCTCCCCGGGAGCGGGGCGCCCGCCTGTCGGAGGGGCCGCGGCCTCCCCTCGGCGTGTCCTCCCGCGCTGCCGTCGTCCTCCTCCGCAGCCTCGTTCGGTGGCCCTCCCCAGCCTCTACGCAGCCTCCCCACGGCCTCCACCGTCTCCTGGTCCTCGACCGTGGATGGAGACTCCACTCCGCGGTCGGCCCTATCGCTTCGCCCCGCCGGGGCTGCCCGGGTGCGGGGAGTCGAGCGGAGGTGCGGGGCGTCGCGCCGGGGCCCGAGGCGGGCGTGCCCGGGGCGCCACATCCACCGTGGGGCTCCTCTTTGTTCACCGTCTACACCTACGTCTTCGGCGCACGTCATGGTGCTGTACGATCTCCAAGATCCCAGCCAAGAGGGCAGGGAGGCCTCTTCCGTCTCACCCTGGCGGTGGCTGGCGGGACTGCAGCCGCTGGCGGGGGACAAATGGGGGACGAGGTAGACTTAGACTGGTCGGTCACTCGCCGGGTTATCTCGCGCCGCTGCCTCTTAAAAAATACACGTGCGATGGTGCCGTGGAAAGTGCGACGCGGTGGTGACGAGCCTGAGGTTTTCGATGAACCGGTCAACTTCTCGTAAAAACTGATGTCACACGGTTGTAGACGACACGGAGCGTCATCTAGTAGAGATTCATTCATTCATGACCCTTCCACCTAGAACTAAATGCAATGAATATGCTGCTCTTTAAGTTGAATATCCAACATGTATTTCACCCAACTTTCTCAGAATGTCATATTTATTTTTCTGTAAACATTTCTTGATTGAAAATTTTGTCAGTTTTCAATACAATATTCTTGTAAAACTGGGTAAAATATTACCCAGTACTGTTTTACACTGACTTTTTTTTTTTTTTAAGATTTTGTTTATTTATTTGATGAAGAGAGAATGAGCTCGAGCAGGCAGTTGGGAGGAGCGCAAAAAGAGGGAGAAGCAGATACCCCCTAAGCAGGGAGCCCTAAGCGGGGCTTGATCCCAGAACTCCCAGATCTTGACCCTAGCCAAAGGCAGATGCTCAAGGGTAGGCCCCTTAGGGGCCATGTAGGTGCCCCTAAGGTGACATTCTTGATGTCACTATATTCACAACAGAAACATCCTCTATTACCAAATGCAGGGTAACATTGTAATGATAATATGAGAACTGACACCATCCCTTTTCTGTTATCTATACCAAAGCAATAGCTCCTACTCCTTGATTTTATAGTTGGAAGGCTTCAATAGATACTTCCCAATAAGCTCTGTCACAGACTTATTTGCTTAATTGGGTTTCCACACGTTCAGTTTGAGGAAGTTCTAGAGTGCTATCAATTTCCTGGCATTATTGCCATTTTATAACTAATAAGAATAATACAGTAGGATATATTATTCACATTTTGTGTACCTTCATTTAAGTCTATTTGTCCAGGAAAATGCTCACTGGGTTGCCTGCATAATATCAGAGAGATACCTAGTTCAGAGCTAAGAACTGGTAAAAAACAAAAAAACAAAAAACAAAAAAAAACCACTTTTTTGTCATAATTTAAATTAAAATTACACTTTATTTCACACAAAAATAATTTTAAAAATAAATATTTGGATGTTTGTAACAGCTTATTCATAATTTCCATAAAGGTATAAACCTGGGACACCTGGGTGGCTCAGGAGGTTGAGAGTCAGCTTTTGGCTCAGGGTGTGATCCCGAGGTGCCGGGATTGAGTCCCACATCGGGCCCCCTGAGAGGAGCCTGCTTCTCTCTCTGCTTGTGTCTCTGCCTCTCTCTCTCTGTCTCTAATGAATAAATAAATAAAATATTTTTTAAAAAGGTATAAACAACCCAAATGTCCATTAATTTATGAATGTATAAACCAAAGTTGATAATCTATACCATGAAATATTATTCATCCATAACATGGAATGAAGTTCTGATCCATGCTACAACATGGATGAACCTTGAAGACATTATACCAAATGAAATAAACTGAACACAAAAGACCACTTGTTGATGAATGATTATGTGAATTATCCAGGCAAAGCAAATCTATAGGGACAGAAAGTAGATTATTTGTTGCGTAGGCCTAGAGAGGTGAGGAGAGAATGGAGAAATAAAAATGTCTAAAATTGGCTATAGTGATGGTAGGACAACTCCGAATACATTAAAAACACTGAATTGTTCACTTTAAGTGTGAGAACTGTATGATATGGAATTATAACTCAATAAAGCTGTTACTAAAAATCTGTGTCTATGTGTATTTGTGTGTGTGTGTGTGTGTGTGTATGGAGTTATTCAGTGCTAATCACAAAAGCATACTAAGCATTGCAGGAAGGCAACATAAAGACTTGAGCAGAAGACTTGCATTTCAAATACGTGTTTGGCCACTCAAAACCTTAAGCAAGTTACCTTCTCTCTCGGCCTCCGTATAGTCATTTACAAAATAGAGTAATGCAGCATTGTTGTAAGGACCAAATAACTTATGTGCAAGTGATATAAAAATGTTAGAAGTTGTTGAGCACCTGGGTGACTCAGTTGTTAAGTGGCTGACTCTTGGTTTCAGCTTGGCTCGGGTCATGATCTCAGGGTCAGACCTCAGGGTGGTGAGAGCATGACCTCAGGGTGGTGAGATCAAGCCCCACCTTCAGTAAGGTTTCTGCTGAAGCTTCTCTCCATCTTCCTTTCCCTCTTCTTATCCTTCCCCCTCTGCTCCTCCCTCTTTGTTCCTCCATACCAGCCTCCACACCTCCCCCCCACTTCCACTCTCTCTCTCTAAAATAAATAAATCTTTTTGAAAAATGTTAGAAGTTGCTAAAACAGTGTATCTTGAAAATATCACAAAAGAAACAAATTTCTAATTGTGTGATCATAGATTTTAATGACTTATTGTGATGATCATCTCTTTCTGTATATATAAATACTATTATACTATATACCTATATGTGTACATATATTGAAACCAAGAGCTTACCAGTAATTGAAATGCGATATAATAGTTATTCTGAGCACAGCTTAGGAGACAGAATGCCCAAGTTTGAATTCTGGCTTTATCCATAACTAGCTGGGTGATTTTAGGGATGTGTTAACTTTCTAAACCTAAGTTTTAACATGTATAAAATGCAGATACTAATTTTACTATCACAGAGTTTGAGGGGGACTCAATGGGCATACATATGTGAAACTTGCACCTCACACTTACTAGGACCTCAAAAACATTAACTGTTTTTTATTACTGATAACTGACTTAGTGGAATATTTTTTAAATTCTTTATAATATTTTGCAAGGAAGAAAAACAAACTGATATCTCTATCATAATTACCATGCTAGGCTATAATCCCCCCAAAAATGATCATGATAACCATTATCATCATTGCAAATCTTCAAAGAAATGTACTTCAAATCAAAGTTTTTTTTTTTTTGTTTTGTTTTGTTTTTTGTTTTTTTTTTGGAAAGGTGCTCATAGTACGTCTCATCTTCCCAATATGGAGAGTAGAAAATTAGAAGTTCAGAAAGAAGAATTGTTTGGGGCTGAGGATAGGAGAGTAAAATTGACTAACCTTTTAACTTTTACCATTGAAGGGGGGCAATACTTTAATCATTGAAGCACTGAGAAAAATGTTCTGTGGGAGAAGGAACAAAAACTCAAAGAAGCTCAACATGGCTAATTGCTGCATAAAATTGCATGCCTGGGTAGAGTGCTTCTAACAGAATTAAACAAAAATAATATTAAATAAAAATTGTTAGTTTTAGCATGTTTGACTTTTAACAATTAGCTTATACTGAATGATAATTGATATAGCAATCAAAAATATTTTTTCTTCTAAAGATTTATTTATTCATGAGAGACACAGAAAGAGAGAAGCAGAGACATAGGCAGAGGAAGAAACAGGCTCCATGCAGGAAGCCCAATGTGGGACTCAGTCTCGGGACCCCAGGATCATGCCCTGAGCTGAAGGCAAACGCTCAACCACTGAGCCACCCAGGCATCCCAACAATCAAAAATCTTAATAATGTTGTTCTATCATTGTGAAGAAAAGGTGAAGTCCTGATGAGTTAAAATAAGTCAATTGTACAATTTTACTTGACAAACTACTTGTATAGTACATATAGTGTCAGGAATTGTCTGTGTTCATTGTGAATAATAACATATTATCCTCTTAACAATTCTATGAAGTAGTTAATATTACTGTCCCACTTTTACAGATAAGAAAACTGAAGTAAAAAAAGGCTAGGGAGGCAGGGCACCCAGCTGGAGTCAGTGCAGCATGCGACTCTCGATCTTGGGGTTGTCAGTTCAAGCCGCATGTTGGGCATAGAGCTTACTTTAAAAAAATAAACAATGTCTCTGAAGATTAAAAAAAAAAAAAAGGTTAGGGAACTTATCCAAGGTCACAAGTGTACAAAGTGATGGAGAGAGAATCATGGCCCCAGGATTCTTGGCTCTACAGTCCATAGGCTTAACCACCTCATCAATGCTACCTCTCCACGGTAGTCCTTTGCTAATCCTTCTCTTAAATAAATCATCTTAGACCATTTAAAACACAGCACAAAATAATACATTCTGGAGCAGTAGCTTATAAACCTTTTTGACCATGTCAACCACTAGGATATATATTATACATAGAGCCCAAGTACAAGCCCACCTATATTCATTACTAGATAACAAAACAAAAGTTACATAGAAGAATTATTTCCTTTACTATCTAAGATGCATCTCAATATTTTCTATTCTAGTCTATTTAAATCTAGTCTATACTGTTTTCTTCCCTTTTTTAAAAAATAAACAGAGGCTTCAGCCATCCAAATTGATTTCATGGTGTACAAACTGTGGTTTGAAAAACATTATTCTAAAGAAAGCAAATCATGGATAAAATCAAGTTCTAAAACAGAAGTAAAAACACAAGATGATATCAGAAACTGAGTAATCTGGAATGAAATATAAGTTGAAAACCCCATTTTTAAAAATAGACATTTAAGCTGCCATTCTTCCTAAATATATAAGCTACTTATTCCTTCCTAACAACATGCTTTACACTTTATAAAACTGTAAAGCAGCCAATTAACAATGTCTCTGAAAAAGCAATGTGATGGTTTAGAAAAGAATGAAGAGTTAGAGTTGATACTGATTCTACCATTCATTAACTTCGTGACCTTAGACCTTTCTGAGCTTCAGTTTCTTCTTCAATAAGATGAGGGAATTGTACATAATATTCCAGTAAAGGAAAATCCCCTTTTTTTCCTTATAGTCTTCTCATGCCCCTGGTATCCCAACACCTCCAACCAAACTTTTCTTACTTGTCTAGCTCATTATGAACATTCCCTTCTGCTCATCTCAGTTCCTGTGGCTATTTTATTAAATAATAAAACACGTTTATACCTATATTCTTTGTTTTTATTGGAGTTCAATTTGCCAACATATAGCATAACACGCAGTGCTCATCCGTCAAGTGCCCCCCCTCAGTGCCCATCACCCAGTCACCCCAACCCCCCGCCCACCTCCCTTTCCACTTGTATACCTATATGCTTAACAAAGTTACTTCTTTGTTATTCTTCACAAAGTTACTTCAAAGTTATTCTTCACTCCTCCTTAGCTGGTTCACACTAGAATATGGAGACCCATCGTGTTCCTCATTTTATCTCCCAGTAAGCCTTGCCCAACCAAGTGTCTTCTAAGTTTTAGAGGTACCAACTGGAAAATAGAAGAAAACTTTTTTAAAAAAGATTTTATTTATTTATTCATGAGAGACATTGAGAAAGAGGCAGAGACATAGGCAGAGGAAGAAGCCCCATGTGGGGACTGGATCCCAGGACCCTGGGATCATGCCCTGAGCTGAAGTCAGATGCTCAACCACTGAGCCACCCAGGTGCCTCTAGAAGAACATTTTTTATTATTTTTTATTTTTTTTAAATTTTTTATTTATTTATGATAGTCAGAGAGAGAGAGAGAGAGGCAGAGACATAGGCAGAGGGAGAAGCAGGCTCCATGCACCGGGAGCCCGACGTGGGATTCGATCCCGGGTCTCCAGGATCGCGCCGTGGGCCAAAGGCAGGTGCCAAACCGCTGCGCCACCCAGGGATCCCCTAGAAGAACATTTTAAAAGAAAATATTATATTAGATAATTATGGAGGCTTTCCAACAACTCAATTTTATGATATTACAAAATCATAAGCTGAAAATAATGATGTCAAGTTTAATTTTTGCCCATTATGGATTCCTAATATTAACAACTATTATTTTTTAAGTTTCTATACTAGGTAGTAATTCTGCAAGACATTAAAACCTAAAATTAAGCAGGTGTAACAGTTTTGAATTTAGCAAACTTGTTTTTTAAATCTTTGTTCCTGTTTCCATAGGCAATCAATATACTCAGTGAAAAAAAAGAAAGAAAAGCAAAAAACAAACACTTGGAAAACCTGAAAAATACAAAGGAAAAAAATTACCAATAATTCTTGCACCCAAGGATAATTGCTTTTATGATTTTATTTTTTTTAAGATTTTATTTATTTATTCATGAAAGAGAGAGAGGCAGAGACATAGGCAGAGGGAGAAGCAGGCTCCATTCAGGGAGACCAATGTGGGACTTGATCTGGGGACTCCAGGATCACCTCCCCACCCCACCCCCACCCTGCTGAAGGCAGGCGCTAAACCGCTGAGCCACCCAGGCGTCCCTATGATTTTATTTTTAAGTAATCTATACACCCAAGGTGGAGTTTGAATTCACCACCCTGACACCAAGAGTCACACACTCTACTGACTGAGCCAGCTAGGTGCCCCAAATCTTTCTTTGTTGTTGTTTTTAAGATTTTATTTTTAAATAATCTTGGCACCTAAACTGGGGCTCGAATTCACAGCCCCAAGATAAATAACTATTGTTAACATTTTTTTCAACATACTTTATTTCTTAAAGCATTTTTTTTTCAGATTCACTGTAAAATTGAGCAGAAAGTACAAAGAATTTCCATATCCTTCCTGTCCCCACACTTGCATAGCCTCATGGCTCACAACATTCCACAAACAGAGTGGTATATTTGTTACAACGGACGAACCTACACTGATGTATGGTACAAACTGAAAGTCCATAGGCTACATTGGGTTCACTCTTGGTGTTGTACATTCTATATATTCTGCTAAATGTATCATGACATGTATCTACCATTATAGTATCATCTATAATAGTTT